CTTGCACACCCCCTACCGGGAATGTGCCCGCAACCAACGTACATGCCCCTGACCGGAATCGAACCTGGGACCTTTCAGTCCACAGACCGATGCTCTACCACTGAGCCAAATTGGTTTTGGCAAAATAAATGAATTTTAAAAAGTTACAGGACAATATTCCTGTTGAATAATGATGTAAATATTTTCAACAAAATATAAAGAAACCAAAGTCAACAATACATTAAAAGGCTCATATACCATGGTCAAGTGGCATTACTCCCAAGAATGCAAAGATGGTTCAATATCTGTAAATCAATCAACATCACACTAATTAAACAAAGAATAAAAATTATAAGATCACCTTACTAGATGTAGAAAAATGACTTGGATAAAATTTGTCATCTATTTATGATAAAAACTCTGATAAAGTGGGTATAGAGAGAGAATCATCCATCAGTTGCCTCTTGCACACACACCCACTGGGGATGTGCCCACAACCGGAATCAAATCTGGGACCTTTCAATCTGCAGACCTAAGTTCTATCCACTGAGCCAAACCGGTTTCGGAAGACTGTGGTTTTCAACAGAAGTCCCAGACTCCTTATCTATAAAAACTATGAAATAACAGGTTTGTGTGGTTTTAAGTCACTACATTTGTAGTTATTTGTTCCACAGCAATTGAAAACTGATACAGTCTTACAAAGTGGAATGTATACAGTTTCATAATGTGGAATGTATTTTTAAGAATAGAAATGTTGACTCAACATTTCTATTCTTAGAAATGTCCCCAACAGAAAACCTTACATGGTTTCACCACAATATCCACAGAGGAAATTTTATAATAGCATAAAACTATTCATTGAATAGCTCATATATAGGCCACTGTACTAAATATAAAAACTATAAAAACACATTGTGTATTGTTTCTTCTCTTGGAAGATGTATGATATACCTAAAGAAATGCATAGTCATACACATCATTTAATGACATAGGTTTGTACAGGATGGGGCAAAAGTAGTTGTGAATACACAAAACACAGATTTTATTCTTGTACTATTATTTATTAATTACTTTATTATTTTCCACATGAATAACTGTCCCACTTTGTATGTTAATGCTAAATATATAATAGAGGAATATGCAAATTAGCTGAGACACTGTAACATCACATCCGAACAGCAGGGACCTGAGACTGCATGGCAGCCTGATGGGGTCAAGGGACCTCAGGCTGAACCTCCAGCTCAGCTAGGCTTGATGGGGGACCTCAGGCAACACCTCCTCCCCCAGACCCTGAACCAGGAGACATGAGGCCGCACACCCCACCCAGGAGCCAGGCCCAGGGACCTGAGGCTGAACCCCCTTACCTGGAGGGACTTGATGGGGGTAGGGCAGGCTGGGTTTGGGTCTCCTGCATTTTTGAAGCATGTGCAGGTGGTGGGCGGGGACTTGACTCTAGGTCCAGACTCTGACAGGAGGGAGATTTTCATATACAGTTTACTAATTTTCTTTCACGTCTAACACTTCTATTATGGAGAAAGGTCAAATAGAAATATTAAAATATTTCCTCTAATTAATTCCCTTTTAATGTGCACAGATTTCGTGCACCAGGCTACTAGTTAGATAAAGAAATAAAAAGAAAAAAAGAAAAGGAAAAAATAACAGGACTCTAAAGGTAGTACCCCAAAGGCAGAGCTCTTGGGAGTCAGGAAAGACTTCCTGAAGACAGCATCATAGGAAAACAAAATTATTTTTGGTAGAGGAAACTTGGTTTTAAAATCTGGCTTTTATTTTCTCAATTTTCAGATATGAGCAGTTATTTAACTTCCTGAAACTTGATGTTTTCATCTGAGAATTAGGGTTGATGCCAATAATTTCTACTTCAGAGGTTTGTGAGGTTAAGTGATGTAAGTTAGTAAAATAGCAGTTTCCTCTAGTCTGCACAGCTGGCCTCTCTTTGGATGAAAAAATAATTACTGAGAATCTCTGCCATGTGACCCCGGGTCTCCAAGAAGATGCGGCAGTTGGTAAGTGTACTAAGCATTAGAGAAAGAAAAGAGAAGGCGGTATTGGGCTTTTAAATTAAAAAATGAATAACAAATGACAAAAGTACAGTTCAGCAGGATGAAAACAAGACAGCACAGTGTTTAGGAAACCTAGAGTAATAAACACAACTAAGGCTGGCAAGCCCAGTAATATACTGACAATGGTGACAAAAACAGAAATACAGAAGATATTCCTGAATATTTACCTTTCAAGTGGAAAGGCAATACTTACAACAATTTTCTAGAAGAGAAATGTCTAGAAGAGAAGTAATATATGTCATCTAGGCTTTCCTTTTGGCCCACAGGAATTTGGGAAAGGGAAAGCTCATTGTAATCCATGGCATCAGGGAAGGTCTGGAACTCAGTCTGGAAGGATGAGTGGGACATGGATCCAAGTCTGTGTGTGTGTGTGTGGGGGGGGGGGCAAGGGGGGTGGGGGGGGGGAGAGAATGTTTATTCTAGACAGGTGTAGCATCCTGCAAAGATTCATCAGACAGAAGTATCTTGCTATTGACTTACTTTTACTTAAATATGAATCAGAGCAAAAATCATTTGGATAAGCGATCCTATTTCTAAGGAGTTAGGGAGAGGTGAGGAAAGAGATGGCAAGGCCCATTTCTCCTAGATAGCAATTGCGGGTTTGAAGTAGTGCTGTAAAACAGGCAGGCTCTTCTCCAACAAAGACCAGGGTAGAAAGAGACTTAGGTATCTGATTTCACCCAATGTACCAGTTCCCTGAGATTTTAAGGTAAGTGTATTGACATGACCCAGACTCATTTATGTTGAGATTGTCTCTAAACCTTCTTGCTCAAATTCCATCATCAAAACTGTAATCCCTCATGAAGTCATTTGCCTCTATACACACACACAAAAAGTAACCTTTTGGACAATTAATAAGTTAACATTATTAATGTCAGCTACACGTAGTTTTGATTAAGTTTCTAAGATCAGATCCCAGGGGCATATTTTCAAAAGAGGAGATAGCAATGTCTGCTCACACTGTGAAATGGTGCAGGGTAGGGGGAGAGAGTAAGGCTATTTCTGCATCTGATGCAGTCCTTCACAGTCAACAGCTAAGGAGCCGGATGCCACATCCCTTTTCAGCATACCCCAAAGCCCACATACCCGCAGAGCCCTGAGCTTGGTTTGGTATGAACTAGGTTTAAAGAGCACGAGTTCACCTCTGAAAGATCCGGCTTTAAATCCACGGTTGTTTTTTTTAATCTCTGGTCTTATTTAGTCCATTTCCTTATCAGTACCATAGGCTTCGTCATAATAGTAGTTTTCCTAAGAGTTGTTGAGAATTAGTAAATAAGAATGTAAAAAAAACTCCGGCACATAAAGATGCCCTATAACCATCAGCTAATAATAATTACTGTTGTATTTATGGCTCCTGGATCATGTATCTTGCCAAGTTGGGTCAGGAAGGCGGGAAGGAAGAAGAGGGTCTGCTTGCTTGTTTTGTTAGCGACATTCTTGAAACATCCCACAGGCCCTGGGCCAGAACCTCAGCGGGAGGGCGGGCGGACCGCTCCCTCCCCTGGGGACCACTATCTCTCCCCAGCTCCACCTACGCATCACATCCCCTGAGCAACAAGTTCCCTCTGCAAGACCCGCCCACGCGCCACGGCTGTCCGGCGCCTCCGCCTAGACCTCTGACAAACACGCTGTCTAACCCTCTTTGGTCCCAGCGAGGTGGGAGAGCCCGCAGCAAGTGCAGGAGGAACCCTCAGGAGGCTGGGAGGAAGGCAGGAGGCGTGGAAAGTCGGGACTGAGGGACCGCTAGGAGTTCCAGTTCGCGCTGCTCTTGAGGCAAAAGCAGCCACAGAAGCTCCCACCCGCTCCTCTTCACAAGTCTCTCCTGGGATCAGAGGGAAGGAGGAGATGGGGACCCTGACAGAATCCCACAGATTTGGCTCTCTGGTTGCCAAAATACATCCTACATCCTCCACGTTTCCCTTCGCCCCGGTTTCTCCTTGCACCCTCACTGTACCCCACCTCCTGTCAGGTTCCTTAAGGACAGATGAGATCCCTGCCTGGACATTTCTCAGGAAGAGTGAGTAGGTCACCTGCAGCCCCCACCTAGCACTCTCCTCCCCGTTGCCCTCCCAGAATGGGAACCTCGGACTCTCCAGAGGAGTCCCCAGGCGTTCCAGACAGCAAGCATGCTCATCCTGGTGCCCAAGTGGCTGCACTTTGCCAACTTCTTGGAGTGGGGATCCCCGCGTCCTCCAGGGAAAGCCAAGCTGGCCGCCCACATACCAGGAGAGCCACCTGGACTTCTCCTTGCAGAGCTCCCCCAATCCGAATCCATCTTTCTAGTTCCTGCAGCTCTGCGCTGAACTTGAGAGCTAACAAGGAGTAAGCTTCTGGGGTGGGCTGGGGCAAGCGGGAGAAGTTCCGCCCTAATTTTGGAAAGCAAAACCTCTTAAGGTTTCCAAGTCTCCTGCAGCCCGGGAGCTGCTTTCCATGGGAAAAGCAGGGGCCGAAGTCATCACCGGGAGGGAAGTCCTCCTGGCGCGGGGTCTGCAAAGCACGGAGATAAATCGCAATGCCCAAGCTTCTAGCCCTGTTTGTCAGAAACTACTCTTTTTCTCTGGAGCTGGGAGCTGGAAATAGATACCTCCCTAGCAAGCCCAAATGTTTAGCATCTCATCCCTCCATCCCCGAGCAGCCTTGAGAACTTGGTACCTCGGACAGCAGCCCGGGCACAGGGCATGGCTTGAAAGGTGTTACCCTATTTTCGCCAAAGAACAATACATTATTTTTTATGACCTTACTAGTACACTCGAAGGACGTTTTAATTACATAACATGGGATAGATCCCTGGAGGCAATATCGAGTTAAAGAGCCGGTGGCAGAATGCCTGCATCGCAAGAGAAAGAGAGGAAAAACTTGCAAATTCTGCAATGAGATTGCGCAGGACTGTGTCCCCGTTTTTTGAAACAACAAGAGAAAGAAATGCAAGGGAGGTCTTACCTTCCGGACTCCAAAGCCGTGCTCTGCTGCAACTTGGCGAGCTTCTTCATCTCCTCCTTTATGCAACTCCACGAGAAAATTATTCGTGAAGACCGGTCTCTCGGCCGATGCAAAAACCACGACACAGAAGAGAAGCCCCGCGGCCGCCTTCCACTGGGAGGCACAGACACCTTTCATCTTTCTTTAGGAGTGAAAAGTGGTGCTAGGAGGCGCGCAGGCTGGCGGAGCAGGGGACCCAGGAGAAAGGTGCAAATAAGAAATATATATGTAGTTTTTGTTTGTTTGTTTGTTTGTTTTTTTAAAGGAATCTTTGTGTGGAGAAAGAGACTGATCGGGGGCTTGGAAAGCCGCAAATTAAGGTACGATCTCTAGCTTCTGGCTGGCAGGGAAGCTGTGTAGTCAGGCGGCCCGACTCGCTGGCAGAGGTGCTAATGTGAGGAGCTGTGTGTATCTGAGAGAAAAGAGCGAGTGTATGTCTGTGCTTGATGCTAAATCTGCATTTTCAGCTCCTCCTCAGCTCCAATTCCCCCGGGGGCGGGAGGAGAGCACCAGTCTGGATGACGTGCGTGCACCAGCAGCCAATGAGAACCAGAGAAGCAGTGAGCCCTGCCCTGGGCCACCCCGGGCCCTCCCCTGTCCTCCCCCAGCTCGGCAGCCTGCCTTTGCCAGCGCCAGCTAGGGGCGCCTACCGGAGCCCGCGCCCCCGCCCTTTCAGCACCCCGGAGAGCTCCCCCATCGCTCCACCCCGCCCTCCTTGCTCCCAGGAAAATACCTCCAGCTGTAATCGGGTTTGAAGCGCCCCAGTGATGTCATTGTTTGTGGAAATCTGTAAGACTCAGGAAAGGGAATTATGATGTGTGCCGCTCTCTGAGGTTCCGAAGGGTGCCAGGGCACCGGCCTCTGTCTATTCCTCTCCCCTGCTTTTTTTTTTTCCCGTGCACCCTCCTTCCCCTACACACAGGGCATACTTGCCTCTCCTGTAAATAACAAAGCAAACATTAACCCTCCTCCTAATAGTTGGGATAACACCTTTGTTCCCCTTTCTAGCACTGGGGGGATTAGGGAAAGCAGCCTTCTTGAGGTAGCTTATGGGGGCAGGAGTACAGGAATAAACTATTTATTTATTTACTTATTTATTTATTTACTTTGGTACACTCCAAATTTATTTACTTATTTATTTATTTACTTTGGTACACAATAGATCTGGAACTATTATGAGCAGCTGGGAAGCCTAGCAGGAGATAAAGTTTGCGACATCCTCCCCGCCGCCCTCCCCCCCCTCCCGCCCCCTCTCCCCGCAATTGTAATTAGAGACTCCCCCTGAGTCTTGAGCTGCTCTGCAGAGACTGCCTTCAAGAGAGCCAGGGCTGGGATGGAAATGCCTGGGAAATGCATTCTCCGATTTGAGGACATTGGTTACCCAAGGACAGAGAGAGTGCGTTTCTGGAAGGGTGTAGCCACTATTTCCAGGAATTGAGCCAAGACCCCAGTTGAGTGTCTTCCAGTTAAGCTGCCAGTTGGTTAATTCAGTCATTCTGGCAGGGGGGTCAGCTAAGTTATTCAGTTAAAACACATGCACTCACACTCTACTAACTGCTTACAACCAACTTCTTCCTGCCCCAGAAGAAGTAGAAATTCGATGTCTGCAACAACATGAGGGCAATTGTTTTAAAGCAACTCAAATATTGTTGAGTTACAGAGTATGTACATTGATATTGATGATCAATTAGCTCCAAACTTCAAAATTCTGTCTTCCTTGGATAAGAAAGAGGTAAGAGACCCTTTCCCTAGAGATTTAAGTGTATGCAACACACACACACACACACACACACACACACACACACACACACACTATTGACACATTTCACACACAGGCACACACACATATCTGTCTGTCTGTGTACCTGTCTGCCTTATCTATCTAACATCTATCCTTACAGGTTTTCTTCTTTTTATTTTAGCATGAAGGCAGAACCTACTGAAAAAAACACACACACACAATTTTACGATTGCTAGAAATGATTATGCATTTAATGCTATGGGACATAATATCTTCAGAGTATATCTCATTGTGGACATAGTTGGCTTCCTTAGAGGCCTTCAAAAAAATTCCTAAATAAAAATGTAGCCATTACTGAATATTTTTATTAAAATGTAAGAAACCATTATCATCATTTTATTATTAGGTACTTGAATTAGTTTAAGAAAAGCTAAGTGAGGTGCTCACAAGGTACTAGGATATAGACTAAAGATGAAAGGGGCCAGAGCAGAGACAACACTTCCATAAAAGTATTGATGAAAGGGAACAGAGCTACTCTCAGTTTCTCAGTTCCTTACTGCTCAGAGGCTTTTTTATTTATTTAATTATTTTTTTATTAACCAGTTTTACTTCACAGCCTCTCCTTACATGTTTGATTTTAACACAGTGTTTTCTTATGCAGAGACCTTCAACTCTTCCCATTTCCCCTTTCCTTCTATTTTACTCATATTTTGAATCAAGGTACAAGAATGGTATGAACTTCCAAATAGCTTTTACTGCCCTGTATTGTCATTTGAGAAAAATGGCACCAAATGTGAAAATTACATTAGATGGATTCACAATCATGAAGAGCTATTTCCAAAGCAGAAACAGATAGAAATCTAAGTCTTTAGAAAAATAAATCCTGAAGAGTATCAAGTAAGTCGATTTAGAAGATTATGGGCATTGTGAAATAGCACTGCTAATGTAGCTCAATCTCTCTGAAAATGAACATGAAATTACCATCTATTCAGAGATATTTATTATTTTTTATGAAACCACAGAGTAATACCACTTTTCCTAAATAAATTCCTAAGATGAATTGGTAGTAAATGTTGAATCTTATGAATGTGCATTTTAATAATTAAAACCTTGTAAAATGGGGTACAAGCTAAATAAAGCCTAGATTGATGAATAAGCCATTTTTAGTGTTTTACACAGAAGATGGTTCATCATAATATTGTCAGAGAAGCATAGCAAATAAAAATAGAAGCATAATAATGTAGTAAGCATGTGAAGGAAATGTATAGATTCATTGTTATTTGAAAAACAAATACACATCCAGGTGCATGCACACCATTTTAAAAATATATATATTTTATTGATTTTTCACAGAATGGAAGAGAGAGGGACAGAGAGTTAGAAACATTGATGACAGAGAAACATCAATTAGCCGCCTCTTGCACATCCCCTACTGGGGACATGCCCACAACCACAGTACATGCCCTTGACCAGAATCGAACCCAGGACCCTTCAGTTCTCAGGCCGACGCTCTATCCAGTGAGCCAAACTGGTCTTGGCCAGATAACTATTTCTAAGCTCCTTCTCCCTAATATAGTAATTTTTGAGCAATAAGGTGAAGAGAAGAGAGAAGGTGGTAGAATGTTTCAAGGACTGAAATGGAATTCACTTGACAGAAATGATTGCAGGCTCTGCTGTCATAGACTATGTAACTTGGTCCAAATCGTTGCATCTCTCAAAGTCTCTATCTCCTTATATTAAAAAAAAAAAAAAAAAAAGACAGTTTGATTAGATACCCTTCAGATCCAAACCCCTACAATTTCAGACATAAACATAAAGACATGGGAAAGTACAAACTACAATGTAGAAAGCTATCATCAATAGAAATGTTGAGGGCAGTCATAATTTTAAAATAATATATGGTGGCTAACAGGCATTTCATTTTACATAATCTCCCCTATAGAATTTTATATGTATTAACTTTATGGATTTGTGGAAAAAGTAACTGGCTGGTAGGAGTTGGGTGGAGGGAGAAATGGGGGACATCTGTAATACTGAAAATAATAATATTTTTTAAATAAGAATAACTGGCTGATGTTCAGTACCAGATATGAAAACCATCAGCATGTTGAGGTTCTATTTAGGATACTGTTGTATCTGAAGAGAAAACATGGGTATTTGGTTTCAGTTCAGAGGTACTACATACCCTTAGAGTTTCTTTGAAGTCACTGTCCTACAAAGACCAGAAAATTCTCAGTTTATGACTTCAAAACTACAAATCAACATACTTACATGTAATTAAAAGAACCCAAACCACCTTAGGTATGTTTGGGATCCTCCCACTGAGATGTACTTCCAGAGACAGCTTTTGGCCCAGGGAGCTTTGGATCAAGGGAAACCCATCACTTGAGGAGGAGGGAGAAAGCTAGAAATAGTCCTAGGAGAAGCTGCTGGAACTTTGAGTATTCTTTGGATCATGAGGGAGAAGATTTTATGTTTCTGTTAATTTCTTTTCAGAAATTATTTGGGTGAGGTGTAATCTGAAGGGAAATAAACCATGTACAACAAAAGGTATGACTTAAAATACAGCTTTACTACAAATCAATTTAGGCTTTGCCCTTTCTGTTGCACTTTAAATGCAGTAATAATAATTTAATTTGGCTCCAGAATTCTCTGCTATCATATTATATTACTGTATTACTAATCCTTTCAAATAGATTCTTCCTAATGACCCTGCCCTATCTGTCCCTTCCATCTCAGCTCAGATTCAGGCTTTCTAAAGCATTGTTACCACTGTATGGGTTTCTGCCCAATTTTGAACTCAACAGTAACCACATTTTTAAATTTTTTCTTCAGATTATTATTTCCCAAGATCTCATCTCATTTCCCAGTGGCATTTATATACAATCTCATATTTGCTGTAACTTAAAGTTTAGGTCTTCATAAAACTTTAGTTAGTAGCTTGGTATATGCCCACTCCTAAATCATTGGGCTTCACTTGGCCCTGCCTCCAATTCCTATAGCTTTTACCAACTTATACCTTTTATCTCTGTTTTCCTTTAGTTGCAAAGTCTTAGCTGACTTTTGTTATGTAAGCCATCTTAACTTAAGATAGTGGGAGGATCATGGGCTTTATCAAGTGTTTAATTACCAGCAAGGCATTGAATCCAGAGTGCTTTGTGTTGTATTCATTTTATAACTTCATCAACAACCCATCAAATTTATTCAGACTAAGTGACTCTTTATAAACAAAAGCTATTTGTTATTTCCTTATATCCAGAACAATAAAAATTATTTTTTGGTAGCTAAACAATGAGGACCAGGGCTCTTTTAATCTTCTTTTGAAAATTGGGAACATAATGCTATTCATTATCTTTAGATTCCTTTTAGGTCTTCAAGAATACAAAATGTTTACTCACCTGGAAAGTTAATTAGTTATTTCTCAATGCTTATTAGAACATTGCTTATTGTCTATAGAAAAGTGATTACCTATTCATAAATTTTCTACCTTGCATTATTTCCCTTTATTTTTTCATGCTCTTTAAAACAAGTACAATGATTATTCAGTTCACTTTTTGAATTATTATTAAAATTATCTTTAAAAGGGAGATGTTTTGTTTTTTTTGCTTCTCAAACTATCTACAATGTAGAAATGATTCAGAGAGAAAAAAGTACATGGCTTCTTGGCAAATATAAACTGGACTTTAGAAAGATAAAAATGTTATGTGTAAAATAAAAGTTCAAATATTAAA